AGCGCTGTGGAGGAATTTTGGCCCACTCATCTTGGCAGAATTGTTGTAAGTCAGCCACATTGGAAGGTTTTCGGGCATGAACTGCCTTTTTAAGGTCATGCCACAGCATCTCAATTGGATTCAGGTCAGGACTTTGACTAGGCCACTCCAAAGTCTTCATGTTGTTTTTCTAGAGGCTGCCACAAAATCCCTCACTCCTCCTTTAACATAAATGTTGCTTCCCTCTACAGTATTTTGCCTGTGTGCGCGTGTACCCCGGGACAAATGGGCAAGTCCAGCATGAGTCATGCTTGGATGGGAGATGGCAGATTCAGAACCACACACATGTACGCCCACACCACATCTGTGTATCTCATTGACTTTTCAGTGAGATTTGATTATCCATCAGAGCAGCCGCTCGTTGTGTTCAGGGCAGGAACAAATAGCCGACCACTGCCGCTGAAAAGAGGCAAGAAGAAGGGAGAGGTGGAGGGACAGGGGGAAGAAGAGATAAAGTGCTATTAAGATGAGGTGATTGGGGGCAACTTTCGCAAGGTGACTGCCAGAGAGCACGACAAACATAAAAATGAGATGGCTGAGCAGAAACAGAAAGGTGTGGTAAATGAAACCAACCGTATCCTTTCTGCACAGTGACTGTTGTGTCACTGCCTTTCTCATTTTCCTCTGCTACCCAAATTGAAATGACACGCGTGTAGCTCTGTGTGTATAAGACCTGTGTCCTTTGAGGTGAATGATGAGAAGAGAAGAATCTGAGCATTAGATAACAGCAACGGCTATTGGCCCTTGGCTTTTCTTCTTTCTGCCATAGACACTCTGAAGATGTTAGGTGACCGGACAGTGGGCTGATTTAGCTGGTGAGGAGTCTGTATGTTATGCAACAGCCTATTTCTGCTTATATAATGCTGCAGTTTCAAAATGGAAGATTAGCCCTGTTTCTCCTTGTAGCAGATGCCACAACATATCTCAACTTGCAAACATTATGCATACATGTTGTCAAGCTGATTAGGTGTATAGAACCAGAACTTAGCTCAAAAAGGAGATGCTGAGATGCCATATGATGGCATATCAGGCTCAGGGGTATCTTGTAAAAGTGGAGGGAAAAATGTTTACAAATATTAATATTTAGATGCAAATAGCACATAACATTAGTACAGAGAGCTGGCATATGAATTTGAAATGCTTGCTTATGTTAAAACACTGTTTGAAATATTATGCTGTCTTACACTACGTGGAAGAGTCAGATGTATGCGTGTGCATCCGTAGAAATAGAGGGCAATAAAATGATTGCTTTTCATTGGGCATCCAGTAAATATATATTTATCAGTCATTTCTCTGTCCATGCTGCTTCACTGGCTGATTCATAAGCTAATAAATACTGCAGCTCTGCAATACTTAAAAGTTGTCAAGTTAGGCACCAGCAGATATAAGCTGTGATAGATCATTATTGGGGAAATGAGAAAGAAGCTGATGAACAGTTAGCATTTCCAGCACCCATGGGACTATTAATACGAGGTCTGTCAAATCAAATCATCAGCATCAGCAAATTCCAGAGCAGGTCAGCCAAGCTTCTCCCCCGTTTCTTGAGGCATTGATACAGCAAAATGCAAATGAATGATTTAAACAACTGCATCTGTATGAGGTGGTCTTGGCCCTCCAGTCCATCCTGCAGTTACATCTTTGTTGTTTCACTGCTGTCTTCTCTCTCTAATTTGCCTGTTTGGCACTTGTATCAGATCTGAGAGAGAAATGCATAAAGACATCGAGGAAATGCAAATAGATCAAGAAGATGTGTGTGGAGATGAAGCTGTAGGGTTGTGTTAGAGATGAAGGGCATTGTGATTAAGTTGTCTGTAGAAAAATGAAACCAAGAAACAAATCCCTCAAAAATGAATTCACACTGCTCCTTTGTCTAGTTTTTCTCTTCCTAATTGACTACAAGCATGTGCAGCAGAGAGCGAACGAGATCTTGACATGTTCAAAAGGAGCTTTGATCTCAAAGCACCTTGAGGGCCTGGAGGATCATCAGGCTTCCCTCTGTCCTTTTATTACGCAGTGTTTCTCTCGGCCCCTTGCTCCTCCTCTTTCTCCTCTCCCTCTTCCTTTTCTGCTTGGCACAATCTCTCCGAGGCTCCCTGATAACCCTCATACACACACAACTGCAGCCTCATTCTGGCACTGCCTCATTCACATTCCAATCTCGCCAACAGCGTTTACCTCGATGAGCTCTCACACACTGCAAGGTCACGTTGACATATTTCAGACAGAAATGCTCTCCGTATTCCAGTACTGCTCTTTTTCGTCTGTAAGGAATTCCAAGCCAGTTTTCTTTGTCTTTGAGAAAAGGGAAAGGGAGGCTCCAATGAGAGGATTACAGAAACTGTTGTCAGCATACTGTTGTGTGAAAAGCTGATCCGCAGTTCCTGCTCAGCAAAAAAAAAAACATCTTTTTGTTGTACTCAGATATTAGATATTTGGCAAGAGTTTGTGCTTGAGTTATTATAATAATATTCAAGAGGAAATTGTTGCGTTATTCTTAACTAGCTTCCCTTTCACGTCAGATAAAACCTCTCAGTGAAACTCAAAAAGAAGTTCCTGTCTCTAGGTATTTCCCAAGCCCCCTGCCTTTCAAGAGTTTAATTCACCTCAGTAGCTCAAAGAGATGCTGTTCTCCTCAGGAATTTCAGGTCTGAATCTGGATGTATTTGCGCTTTCCCTTTCACCCACAGTGGACACCCTACCTACACCACTGATTGACCACAGAAGGAGAAGCAAGATGAGCTAACCCCTGGATAAAAGACCAAATGCATAAAATGTATACCACTGACATTAGCCGACAGCTGCAGCAGATTAAGGGCTGCTAAGCAGTAGTTTAGAAGCTGTGGTGTTTAAAGAGCAGCTAGAGCTTATTGTCAGTTACCTACAGGTCCGTTCATTTCAGTGTTGTGGGCTTGACTGCTCCCAGTCATTCAGAGCGTTTTTTTTTTTCTCCTTCTGTTTCCAGAGATATGTTCGCTTAAGGGAAATGGCCATTAAAATGTCATTACCACTGCACTAAAATCATTTTTAAAAAAGCACTGGTTCCCAGCGGCTTCCCACCGTAATGTGCTCAATACGTTCCCTCAGTACCAGGAAAGGACCCTAATGTTGCGGAACACAAATGCTAATCTCTTTGTAAATATCATTCAAATTCACTCTCCCTTCTGCTTTTCAGTCATAGTAGCATGGATTCATTCTGCTTTGCCCTGGCAAATTGAATTAATTCTCCAGGCAGAGGTGTTATGATTATTCTAAGCTTCCTAGTGCATGGGCTGTAATGGAGACGATCCTGACGTTTCCTGTAGATGCACAAGCATTTCACTTTGTTTTTTTTTTTTGTGCTGCAGCAGTTCAAAGATATCAGTCAATCAAACAATTGATTACATTTTCATTCACATGTCTCTCTAATTGCTCTCTGACAGTATTCCTATTTGTGTCTTAGAAACAATATTGGATTTTAGCATGCACAGGGAGAGTGGGCAGAAAGACTTCGAGGGTCAGTCCATAACATGAATCAATTGATTAAGTGCCTAAGATGCTGGAAGCACTTAGCCATTTGAGATGGTCAAGCCTCTTTGCAGAATGAGATCATCTGCTGAACAGTCCATCATGCTTCGCTCTGGTAAACTCATTCTGGTCTAACTTAGTTCTGATCTTCCTGTTGTGCTTCCACATTAATTTTTCTTGTTTATTCTAACTGTTTAGCTGTGTTTTATATTCTCTTGATCCCTCTACATTAATCACAGCCAACAGAACTTCCATTTTTACTGCAATTTGAGCATGCTCAATTAATAGCCTAATTGCAACTATCATTGGTGCATAGCTGCACTGTGCCTATACTGCTATGCCCACTTTATACAGCACCAAAGAGTGGTTAGGATGCACATAAATTTGGCTCTGATTATACCGTCCATTAACTTACTGTACAACCTCTGCACTTATTTACTCAATTAACTTGCTATTTTAAGTTCTGCTAACATTTGGGTGTTTTATTTTCTTTTTTAAAATACTTATTCAGCCATGAATAATGGAAAACTGCTGCGAGCAAAAGCCACACAATCACCTCTGAATATCTCAGTGTATGGAAGGTGGCAAAATAAATGCACGGAGCTAATGAACTCATGGAATCAATGAGAGTTGTTGCTGCAGTGGGCAGATAGCAATGTGTAACAGTAACCTCACTGGCAAATTAGCTTGACGACAACCGGGAAGCATCCCTGCTACATTTACAGCAGAGAAGTTACTGTTCTGGATCTTCTGGCTGTGCAGAACAAAACTGCCACAGAAGATTTACTACCAGACAGAGAATTTGTCTGTAATGGTGCCACCTGGTTTGTACTATGTTTGTCACTCTCTCTCTCTGTCACCCTTATTCTGTGCCTCTTTGGCAGATTGTAGCTCTGTAAATGACGTTGACCTTTCCTGGGACTGAGGACAGGAACTACAGCGGGAGAGGAGAGCGATAGCGGGTGGTGAGAGTAGAGTAGGCGGTTGACTGTAATAAACTCAAAGCAGTGGGTGGCTGTCAACACTAATAGATGGGAAAGGGGAGGAGGGGTCACCAGGTTGATGAATACTGAAGGTGCCTAAGTCCTCAACGGTCCTCAGTAAATACTCTGTTCCTTACCAGACCGATCTGTGTGAGATTTGATGCTCATGGACTACAAGATCTATCAGATCTTTTTGGTGTCATAGAACACTTTTCTACAACACCAGAGGATTGTCATAGGGCACACTGATACTGTAGACGGTGATAGTGCTTTGAGCTACATGTAACAAAAGCTAAGACGCTCACAGTGGCAATGTTAACATGCTCATGTTTAGCAGGTATGATGCTCACTCTCAGTGTGTGAGCACTAAGTTTTATGGCATTTTTAAAGTACTTGA